AACTCCAAGTCAATCACACTTCTGTGAAATCAAACTGCCCACTTAGGAAGGAACACTGACAATCAATTTCACATGCTGTTGTGCAAATGGAATAGACAACAGGTGGAAATTATAGGCAATTAGCAAGACAGACACCCCCAATAAAGGAGTGGTTCTGCAGGTGGTGACCACAGACCACTTCTCAGTTCCTATGCTTTCTGGCTGAAGTTTTGGTCACTTTTGAATGCTGGCGGTGCTTTCACTCTAGTGGTAGCATGAGACGGAGTCTACAACCCACACAAGTGGCTCAGGTAGTGCAGCTCATCCAGGATGGCACATCAATGCGAGCTGTGGCAAGAAGGTTTGCGGTGTCTGTCAGCGTAGTGTCCAGAGCATGGAGGCGCTACCAGGAGACAGGCCAGTACATCAGGAGACGTGGAGGAGGCCGTAGGAGGGCAACAACCCAGCAGCAGGACCGCTACCTCCACCTTTGTGCAAGGAGGAACAGCAGGAGCACTGCCAGAGCCCTGCAAAATGACCTCCAGCAGGCCACAAATGTGCATGTGTCTGCTCAAACGGTCAGAAACAGACTCCATGAGGGTGGTATGAGGGCCCGACGTCCACAGGTGGGGGTTGTGCTTACAGCCCAACACCGGGCAGGACATTTGGCATTTGCCAGAGAACACCAAGATTGGCAACTTCGCCACAGGCACCCTGTGCTCTTCACAGATGAAAGCAGGTTCACACTGAGCACATGTGACAGACGTGACAGAGTCTGGAGACGCCGTGGAGAACGTTCTGCTGCCTGCAACATCCTCCAGCATGACCGGTTTGGCGGTGGGTCAGTAATGGTGTGGGGTGGCATTTCTTTGGAGGGCCGCACAGCCCTCCATGTGCTCGCCAGAGGTAGCCTGACTGCCATTAGGTACCGAGATGAGATCCTCAGACCCCTTGTGAGACCATATGCCGGTGCGGTTGGCCCTGGGTTCCTCCTAATGCAAGACAATGCTAGACCTCATGTGGCTGGAGTGTGTCAGCAGTTCCTGCAAGACGAAGGCATTGATGCTATGGACTGGCCCGCCCGTTCCCCAGACCTGAATCCAATTGAGCACATCTGGGACATCATGTCTCGCTCCATCCACCAACGCCACGTTGCACCACAGACTGTCCAGGAGTTGGCGGATGCTTTAGTCCAGGTCTGGGAGGAGATCCCTCAGGAGACCATCCGCCACCTCATCAGGAGCATGCCCAGGCGTGTAGGGAGGTCATACAGGCACGTGGAGGCCACACACACTACTGAGCCTCATTTGGACTTGTGTTAAGGACATTACATCAAAGTTGGATCAGCCTGTAGTGTGTTTTTCCACTTCAATTTTGAGTGTGACTCCAAATCCAGACCTCCATGGGTTAATAAATTTCATTTTCATTGATAATTTTTGTGTGATTTTGTTGTCAGCACATTCAACTATGTAAAGAACAAAGTATTTAATAAGACTATTTCATTCATTCAGATCTAGGATGTGTTGCTTAAGTGTTCCCTATTATTTTTTTGAGCAGTGTATGTATGTATGTATGTATATATATGTATGTATGTATATGTATGTATGTATGTGTACGTATGTATATGTATGTATGTGTATATATGTATGACTTTTAGCAATAAACACATTAAGTTCCTGGTAGAAGCTCCTGTGTATATGCGCTGTATGTTGAGTGCTGTCTAACAGCAGTGACCTAGTTACAAATGTGAACGTTTGAAAGGAAATGGCGACTGCATGCGTTTGATTACTTGAGATAATGGTATGAAACCTCATTAACATCTCCAAGGGTACACATTTTAACACTTTGGTAGTTATAAAATGTAATTATGCTTCGCTGCAAAAGTCATGGACGGAGGACCAAAAACCCACAACAGGTGTTTGTAGATGATTACTGCCGTAAACACGTTGCTGAGTATGCGTCATCCCATTAAGACCTTTTGTCTCTTCACATTTGGAAACAAGATCAAACGTAACAGCTGCTACTCAAACACACACCGAGTCCAACGTTGTGCTCAGTGAATGGCTCATTACACAGTCCTCATTACAGCTCTGACTGTGCTGATGAGCTAACGGTTCTTACTCTACCCTCTGAATGTTATCCGCCTCTTTTTATGCCTCTGGGACAACAGGAGCCATTTTGTTTCCTGCTCCGTCAGTCTTTCCAGTCAATTAGGACATGAGGAGTTTTGAGACAAACTGTTGAACTGAGCCGTGTTGTTGTTTAAAAAAAATTTAAGAATGAAACGGCTCATGATTGTGATGAAGTACCTTCATCTGTGAGGGATTTTGTTCTCTAGATTTGCCAAGATGTTGTTTTATCCGTCAACAATTTGACAGTTGAGTTTTTGAGAAAATTAACTATATTGTCAAATTTATCGCCAATAGATTTACTTATTGTAAAAGAGGATTTTAGCCCAAATTTGAGCGCATTAGTTACATTTTCAGTATTCTCAAACATTAACAAGTGAACTCAATAACTGAAATTAAGTTTGATGCTCCCTGTGGACAAAAGTGTTTCTCTTTAGAAAACCTCTCCTCTCTTACTGCAGCGGGGTCCACTCGGTCCTGGTTCTGGGTCTTCAGTGCCTCCCTTCCCTCCAGGGGACCCTAGCAATACTGCCTGGGCATAGTAACTGATGAGTCTGAGTCTTCTCACTGATGTTTACGTAGGTCATACAGAGGCATCATTATTAAATTGTCATCGTCACATTTCGGGATGTGGTGGAACAGGGAAACCACAGGAGACATAAGTCTCTAAAACTTGATTTACCTGATCAGTTCAAAGGACGGGAAACGGATAGTAAAGCGTAGCGTCTCTCCCCGACAGCACTCACAGATGACGGAGTAGATCAGAGCCGAATGCTCTGAGCATCTGTGTAACAGTCGGAGACAAACTTGTGAGGAGGCACAGCACTGAAGAACTGCATGAAACCATTTCTGCAGTGTTTATGTTCTCAGGCTCCATCATTAGAAATTGTAAACTTTATACATCGCCAGACAGATTCTTCCTTCAGCTGCTCCAGTTGTTTCAGCACTTCATAAGTCCGTGCCAAATGGCAGAATGGACATCAGGAGTCAGCGACAGCATGCCCGGGGGCCGGCACAAAGCGAGTAAAAAGACTGCATTAAAGATTTGTTGTTAGACTCAAACTCCTCAGTTGTAATTCAAAGTGAAGCGTCTGGAGGAAAGCAGGCACAGCTCACTAACCATTAACATGAACCCTGCTGTGGAGCACCGGGGAGGCGGCTTCCTGCTGTGTGAGAGAGTTCACCTGGCAGTTACGGAGACGCTTTTAAGGAAGGTGAGAACATTCACCAAACCTCTTTCGAAGAAATTTATTCTTAAAGCCCACATGTGCAGTTTTAGGGACGATTCTGACATTCGGTATAAGAGTGTGTTATGTTACTAATGCTACTAAAGATGACAACGCTTTAAGCGTCCCAGCAGAAGTAGCTCCACTTCAGGACTATTTAAGGTTTATTTCATGTTTGGAGTCCGGTACTCCGCCCTCTTCCGTTCTTGACTCAACTCTCTCAACTTTTCTTTTCATGCTAATTAGGATCAACCGGCATGCGCTTTAAGTTTCCAAGGACAATGGGATTCATCATTATAAGAACGTAGCTACGAACAATTCTGTGGTTTAACAACATGACATGAATGTGAAGGAGACTTTTCTTTGGCTCTTTCTCAGTGAACGGAGCAAAAGCGGTCAGACAACCCTGCTGCTGAGGGTCTAACACCGTCCTGAGTGGGCTGAGTTTGTGCTCCGACATGGCCACATATCATTTAGTCAATCAGGATCCAGAGTGTGGAGTCCTTCTCATTACAGGAATGTGTGTTTACAGTCTAATAAAGAGGCTCCCATTCAGCATATAAATCAGCTCAAGCACAATTACAACTGGCAGCTGTCGGTTAAGGTCGAATGAACCTTTTAACTCGTTTTAATGAGAAACATTATACTACGGACATGTTTGTCCCTCTTGAAAGAGAAGCATGACCTCGTCTATGCTCTTTGAAAGCAATTTAATTGTCGTATAAAAGTAACAGCACTAACGGCTGCATTCAGATTCATCACCCCAGTACTGATGGAGGTTAATCCCCCCCTGAGAGAGGCATGTTTTTGTTCCTTCTGCGTGTGCTGCAACACAATCGTAATATCAATTATCTGGTCTCAGAAAAAGATCTAACATAACAAAGCAGCAAATGCAGTCACATAAAACTAAGGAGAAAGAAGGGTCACCATTTAGCTATGGGTTTTAACATAACATCACACATCTAGAGAAGATGCTTCTTGAGCTTGTATTTGCTTTAAAGCATCAATCCATACCGTCCATACTTGGACATATAAGGATGACAACTGGCTTCCATCAGTGCGGTTCTGTGAATGACTCCCTGTGCTTGAAGATGAATAGCTGGGCCCTCGTAAGATTGTGGCCCTTGTTCCTGTTCGGATGTCGCTTGTTTTCTGTTTTCTGTTCTGAGATAGAAAGAGCGATGTGCTGTTCCTGCTCTGTTCATTGTGCAGAATTTGATGAGAAAACTGTCACGTTACAAAGCGAGTCCCCGGGAACAAACATTAAATCAGACGCAATAATAACAGAAGATTTTCTTTTGATGGCACAGCGAACAGCAAAGTGTTCTTTGGACAAGAGAACGAGAGAATGAATGCAATGCGTGTTCTGAAATCACACCTTTTGATTGTTTTTCTTTCACAGAAAATAAGTAATTTCTACCAAATTGGCACACGATGGGCGGACTGTGGTGGAGGATGTGTGTGGTGTTTGCACGTCAGCTGAAGATGGTTATCCGTGTTCAGAATTTAAAGGTTGCAAAAGGGCAGAAAATGTGGAGCAGCTTTTATGCGGTTGACTCATTTTCTTGGTCTTCGCGGTGTCGCGGCTGCAGACGACATTAACTTTCCAGAGACGTCACTGAACTCTTTTGTCCTCTCGTTTTATTTAATGTCACTTTACATACGTGTAATCACAAAAAAACATGCCCAGCGGTACAAGCAAGGCAGACACCGAGAGACATGACGATGCACAGCGGAGTTAGCAACAATAACACAAATCAATATTAAGCACATCAATCCGTGGACACGTAGGAATGACACATATGACAATGTAACAATCTCACGGTTGCCTGTGTAGGTGTTTGAGGTGAAAGGTACAAAAATCACTTGAACTATTCAAACATCACTCTGCATTTAGTTTGATTGTGCCAAATAAGAAACCCGACAACAGTGTAACTAAGAGCCGGCTCATCATTGACAGCAATGTACTCATGTCACCAAGGAGATTACTTCCATAGTGCTATGTAAAGTGTGTGTGTGTGTGTGTGTGTGTGTGTGTGTCCACTTTGAGGGCTGAACTGAATTTGGAGGGATCACAGTGTCTTACAGCCACATGATTAGAAAATGGCACCAAATAAAATATGGCACATAAAGGAACATTTTCTTTAGTAGTAGACATTTTGGGAAATGCCTTTTTTCTTGAGTTTCACACAAAGACTGGAAACGGAAACAGCGAGCCCGGTTCTGTCCAAAGGCAATTACATCCATCTACCAGCACCTCTGAACACAAATTAAAGCAAAAGTGTGTAGCATTTAGGGGGATCTATTGGCAGACATGTAATATAACATTCATAACTATGTTTTCATTAGTGTATAGTCATCTGAAAATAAAAATGGCGTTTTCATTACCTTAGAACAAGTCCTTGATATCTACATAGAGAGCGGTTCCTCTTCAAGCGGTCCGCCATGTTTCTACAGAAGCCCAGAACGGACAAACCAAACACTGGCTCTAGAGGGGGGCCTTTTGTATTTTCACGTTAGCTGAGGGCCTTCGCAGCTCTCCGACATGCTAGTGAAACGGCTGTAAAGTGAGCCGCAGAGTGCAAAACCGTGGTAACACCAGCTGCCGTCTGAATTTCGTCGCTCCTAAAGTAGGTGAGGCGAAGGTCCTGAAAGACACCACGGCGTTGCCACGGTTTTACTTGGTGGCTCACGTTCCCGGTGCCTTTGGATAGAGCCAGGACGGCTGTTCCCGCCTGTTTCCTGCCTTTGTGCTCAGCTAAGACAACAACCTGCTGGCATAGCTTCATTTTCAGCCTGCAAACATAAAGGGGTGGTAATAATCTTCAAAGGGAATAATTGCATTCACCATGACGTCAAATTGTTCCTTTTAGTGAATCACACATTGATGTCTTTGTGCATCATAACCAGGCCGGGTGGGGCTTCCTCCACCCTCCTCCCTCTCAGGGCCTGAGTGAGAACATTTCGGATGGAGCGAGACACTCTCAGCAGGAGCTCCTTCAGTCCAGCTCTGTACTCTTTTCGGATCAGGCAGTAGAGCACCGGGTTAAGACAGCTGTTTGCGTGAGCTAAGCACACAGTCAGGGGGAAGGCGTACGCCTGGGTGTTGTAGAAGGCTTTACTGAAGGGCACCAGGTCAAATTTGATGAGCACCCCCCACAGGGTGAGAGCCTGGTTGGGCAGCCAACAGATGAAGAAGGACAGAACTACGATGGTTACAGAGCGGGTGACTTTGGAGCGGCGGCGGTGGCGTCCTCTCTCGCACTCGGACCTCTCTGTGACACTCGCGCTGACCGTGCTGCCTACGATGCGCCGGCTCAGGATGAATCTCAGGAGGAGCAGGTAGCACACGGAGATGACAATCAGGGGAACCACAAATCCCAGGAGGACTTTCTGTATTTGATAGAGTCCGAGCAGGACTTGAGGATCCCAGTGGCTGGAGTCTGAGTCGGAGAACCGCACTAAGCACAGCTCATCGTCTATAGACACCTGTAAACACAACGACAACCGCGTGAGAGGTTTCACACCCAAAACGCAAAGAAAGACGTGGACGTTCGGTCTGATTTCAACAAACCTGGACTGTGGTGGAGTAGAACACATGAGGCAGCGTAGCCACAAGCGACACCAACCAAATGGTTAAACTGGCCCACTTGGCACGAGCGGTGCCGATCTGAGGGCTGCCCATCTTCAGAGAGGTGACCAGGGTGTAGTAGCGGGTCACGCTCATGGCGGTGAGGAAGAAGACGCTGGCGTACATGTTCAGGGTGGTGACCGAGCTCACGATCTTGCACATGACCCGGCCAAAGGGCCAGCGGAAGTCCAGCACCGTGTCCACGGCCCAGAAGGGCAGGGTGAGGACAAACTGGAGGTCCGTCAGCGCCAGGCTCATCACGAAGCAGTCGATGGAAGAAGAGTGGTGGTGGCCCCGGTGGCGGGAGTGGAGCAGGAACAGGGCCAGGAGGTTACCCACAAGCCCCAGAACACACACCGCCAGGTAGACCAGGGCAATGACGACTCGTACCTGTCAGACACACACAGTATATATGAGTTTGTCATCTCGGGCGTAGAGGGTCAGAGAAGTGCACACAAGGAAATTAAAAGTCAAAATACAACATACATCCTCGAAGCAACTCTCTTTTCCGGCACATGTTTAGGGAGTTCATGCAAAAATGATCTTGACAACCATTTTATTTCATTCATCTGGATTTGTAAGGAAGGTGGATGCTGAGCTACACCTACTGCCAGGTTCGCGCTGTCCGCGTGCAGGTCCAGCGAGGACTCCTCGGAGAGGATGTGGAGCCAGCAGTTCAGTGAAAGGTTCAGAGCTGCGAGATTAGAGGTCGCTCCCGTGGGGCCGATAAGTTTGGAGAGCTCGCGCTCATTCTCCTCTCCTCCGCACGCGCTCAGAGCGGCCAGGGGTCCGGAGGCGCTCCCGTTGCTCTGCATGATTCTGCAGAGGATTTTTTTTTCTTTATTTTTTTTTAAAGTATCAAGTTACGGCAGGTTTCCCCCTCTTTGCGGCTAACTTCCAAAGTGTGGGTGCGCAGTTGTGGATGCATAAATCCCCATCGTTCAAAGCCCCGAAGTTGCGTGATTTATCCGAACGATTTCTAAATTTGCTCGCGTTTTACAAGCGGAAATAAAGTTTACATATGAGGTATGAAGGCTGATTAATCCGCATCAGACTCAGGAGCGTTCAGGTTGAGGTCCGCCGTGACAGCGCTTCTTCTGTCAGCACCACTGTCAGCATCCTGAGGCTTTTATACTCGCGGAGGTGCTCCTCCACCGCTCGATGGCGCACTGGACGAGTGCGCACGCGGAGGCTTTAGTGTTACTACACTGTTGTGATTCACGGATGAACAACCAGGGAAAGGCTTGTGTTGCATGGTGGGAAAGATAATTCAGCATTCTGATAGTCTGTTTTTTTCTGAATTTGCTTTGCTCTTAAGTGATTGTATTGTTCTTAAATATAGCTCAGAAACACAGCTTGAAATGCATGTTCTTCTGCTTTATTTAAATTGTGAGTATTTGTATGCTTTAAGCTTGCTATTCAATGTTTGTCAAATGTCCCCTTTTTGATGGAGCCAGCTAATCACCCTCTCTGATGTTGTGTCCAAAAATCACCTCTAATGTTTCTGCATATGATGTGAAGTAAAATTACACTGGATAGTATTTTCAGAAAGGAACGCGCATCTGAAACAATGCACATCAGAGGAACGATACATTTTCTAAAGCAGCCTCGACAGTCTGTAATTTATCAAACCGCTTTGCACAAATCTTTCATCTGCATTGAGGGTTTGCAGAGTTTGAGACTGACATCATGACCGATCCTCTAAAATGATGCATCGGGGTTTGATTTAAAGTCCAGTCAAAACAGTTTACAATTCACTCTCGTTTCTTTGTTTGGCTCCGTACGCCGTGAGGAGCAACTTTAAAAGAAAACCTCACTAATTTGTTGACATACTGAGATGGATGGAAATGAAGATATCTTTGGAGTCCGACCCTATAGGATCTCTGTGAAGCTGCTAATTTGCATTCTGCTGAAGCTTTCCAAGACACTTGAAGAAGCAATTTCATCTTCACACTTTTATGTTTTCATGGCACCTATTGGCTGCCTCTTTTATTTATGTAGTCAATGTGAGGGTAAAGTAAAAACATTTTTGTTGAAGTGAACATTTCTCTTGGTCAAGGTGAAAATACAGAATGTCCATTTTTATTCATTAGAGAATAAAGATTTAGCCTATATGATATTATGATTATATAGATGAGATTATGAATGAGAGTGGCGAACAGCTCTCAAATATTTTGTGCTTTATTGTATTCATACTACACTTAACTGTTAGCTCGGTAAGGGGTTCATGCATCGCTTTGCTGAGGACATTTAATGTGCTCGCTTTGTGTCATTCTTTGGAGCATCTGGTAGACAGAGTGACTTGATATCACTCTGAATGTCTCCCTCCAACCATTGCTGCAATGCGTGAATATAGCAGCAGTGGAAGACAAAGATCCAGCCAGTATCTTAAAGTGTGTCCATACCTCAGAAAGGTGACGTGGGGTCAAAATAATTGTGACATCAACTCAACTTTGACATGATTGAGTATCTGATGTTCAGTTTCTAAGTGGATCTATAGACTCCCTCTATACCACAACACCACAAATGTCCCTGCTTCAAGCAGCCTGATCAGAAATTCATTTCTGACTCCCAGTGCCGTTAGTGTACTCACATTATCGTTTGGGTTTCCTCAAATCATATGTTTATTTGAAGTTTCGTTCACCTTGTAACATCTTGTACAAACAACACTCAGAGATAACTGTTAAATGTAAATGAATCATGTTCTGCAAACGAGTTTGCAGAACACAAATGTGTCCATACTAAATGGCAGTACTTGCAAAACTTACTGTAAATCCTCCAAATTTCTAAAAATATTTTGAAGGACATGTTCTCGTATTGTCCTGTTAGCTACAGCGCTGTCTGCAAACTGTATTCCAGAGACATTTTAATACATGCAGTGTGTAAAGACCATCTTGTGGGACTCGCCTCAGCTGAGTTCATGTTATTTCAGTGAGCAGAGGACGCTTGAACGTCAGCGTTTCATGAACCCACATGTCACCTTGATGTTGCCCTCATTCTTTCGCTGGGAAGGCATCGAGCTGATGAAATGTGTTTTGAGATGCAAATTTTGTCCCCAACTTACAGCTGCGAAGATGATTCTGTGAAACAGACACACTGAAATATGATGCATTACGGTGAGGGAACGGAGATGAGGAAGATAACAACGGATGTTCTGGACAGAAAGTGGGGCAGAAAACATGTGCAGCACCAGCAAACTAGAGACAATAATTAACCGGTGAGTTGTTCTTTTTTTTTTTAATGGATGGTCTCTAGGTAACAGACGGCAGTTTCAATCACTATCCTTCAAATGCATTCAATGACAGCCTGTTTTGCAACAATTTTCTTTGACCCCACTGGAAAAAGGCACTTCACATAATTACATGACCAGCCAATAATTATATTTCCAAATATAAAATAACAAAGATTTTTTCTAAAATTGAGATATGATATCCAATATTTTTTTAAACTGTAGCCCACTTTCCCACATTGACAGCTTTCATGAAAGTAAAGCTTATTATGACTTTTTTTTGATTTAAGTGATAAGCCTTCCAGCAGCTTTGGCTCATTAAGGACACATCTTTTTTTTAGTTTTTCACATATATTGCCTCATTATGTTTGGAATGCGAATCTCTTCCAAATTGGACACATGGCATGACTGAGAGAAACAAATCCCTTCCGGGGCTTCCCAAAAAATCAGTCGCGTAAACATTTTAATTATCTTGTGCTTCGTCAGCATTGCAAACTAAACTGTTACAAAGTGCAAATCTTTTTTGACAAACATTTTTTTAACATATAAAGTCAATAATAAAATACAGCGGCGAATATACATTTGTGTTGTTTAGCAGATCATATCTGTCTACATCTTGCAGTAGTATGCAGTGATTAGATATAATACATAGTCAACCAGGACCCCGAGGCTCCGTTTTCCAAAGCAACATGACTTCCTCGCTTGTGTATGAGTGTGTATGAGTGTCAAACACACCATAATACTTCACTCTCAGCCTCTGAAGGGAGAAACGGATGTTGAAAAGCAATCAAAATTGCTCATTTGTATGCCACGCCTGCAGGCAAGCCAGCTTTCCTTTCCTACGTCTTTCCTCTTGGGGGTTCCCGAGGAGATCAGTGATTGCCTGCAATCCTGGTGGTGAGAGGATGGGAAGTCTACCAAGGGCTCAGAGCTTCTCCATCAGCCTGCACAGAGCCTCAACGCCCCTTGAGATGGAGAAGAGAGGAATAGGAGCGGCGTCTCGCACTTCATCCATCGACTGCAGGGAGCGGGACGGCACTGAGGGGCACAGACGTGGTGGAGAGGAGTGAGTGTATGTTTGTGTGTGTGTGTGTGTGTTATAAAAGACAAAAGTGTGTCGATGTCTACACACCTGTTGTCTGTGTGTACTCTCCCTGGCTGGGTTGGCTGTAGGGGTCTGGATGGAGATTTGAGGAAATGAGCAGCGAGAAGGAGATGAGCAAAACCTGGACATGAATAAAGAAAGCAGGACAAATACAGAAGACAGAGGCCAAAGAGAAATAACAAAAAGCCCAGGGAAAAGTAGAAATGGAAATTTTAGGCATAACCCACATGCCATATTGCACAAAAGATAAGCGCAGGTGCTAGCTAAAACCTCAAAGGTAATCACAGTAGTAGTCAACAGTGGCGCACAGGCAGTGGTTTAATGATGTGCTCAGGCACTATAGCGTCTATATATCTATACCTGTATCTAGTATTCAGTTGTTGCAGATTATGCATTCTGATCAAATTCTCAATGGTGTAAATCAATGTGCAAAGTTGTGTTGTATTTCTCACCAGGAGGCAGGTCCCTCGGTGCGTTGTTTTGCTGGAGCTGTTAGGAACCAGAGCCTGTAGCCGCCTCAGCTGCTCCAGCAGATCACTGCAATGCAAATACAGACAGGAGGATGAAAGAGACTGTGTAACATTTTTACATGAGGGCCCACAAGGCATCATTTTCACGGTCAACAAAAAGAGGAGCAGCATGTGGTGGAGAAGTGCAGGTACATGGTCGCTTTTCATATTTTGTTTCAATTCACCACAGCACTCTGCTGAAAAGCAGCATAATGAGATGTCAGGATGAAGAGGAAGCAAAGTCAGAGAATGCCGTTTGTGGTTTATAAATTGGATGGGCTTTGTATTCTGGCCATTTTACACTCAGCCTCCTCAGTCCTGATTTTAAACAAGTTAAAAGTTTTCTTCACTGGGTTGTCAACATCTGGGGAGGGAGGGTCCATGGACAGAATAAAGAACACTGACAGACGTACTCCAACACATGGTAGTTGGTAAATGGACTTGTACTTGTATAGCACTTTCACACTACATGTCATTCACCCATTCATACTCATTCATACACCGCAGGCAAAGCCTACGTGGACTAGCGGAGCCGGGGATCAAACCACCGATCCTCTGATTGAAGGACAACCCTACCACTGAGCCACAGTCGCCCCCACAACAAAGGTAGAAAAGAGAGGATGGCACATCAGGATGACACATGACTCATACAAACAATTTACTCATTATGTCATTGCTGACTTTTTGCCTGGGACATTCAGTTTCAGATTCAGTCTTTCACCACCATATCATCTATCTAACCATCAACAGCATATGTAGACTTTAGCACGGTCATTTAATTTTTAAACAAGTCAGCTGGAGACATACAGTAAAAGAGCCAGCCAGAGTCTGTGCTCTTAACCAAACCGTGGAGCTAATGTAAGCTTAATTAACAAGCAGTGGTACTTTATTACTTCAGATGGCAGAATATTCATTTAAAACAAGAATGACATGCTCTTCTCTCTTCTAAATCACTGTAAATTGCATATATTTGTGTCTGTACTGTTGGTCAGACAAGACAAGCTACTTGAAGATGTCATTTTGGGAAAATTGTGATGGGGATTACTTTCTGAAAAAAAACAACTTAAAGTCCCAAGAAAGACCCCACAATAATGAAAACAACCGTTAGTTGCAGCCCCTGTTGGCTGATTTGAGGACTCACTTGTTGGTCTCCTCCAGCTGCTGCATCTTTCTCTGCAGCTTGAGGTTGTGAGCACCACACGCAGACATCCTACAGAAAGCGAGAGAAGAGAAAGAGGGGAAATACAGATCCAATTAGGAAATAAGGGTATCCTATAATACTGTGTTATGATGTTGTTATCCGTCTGCTGAGTGTTATCTTGCAACTCATTCTGTTATTCAGTGAATCCCCCCCCCCCCCCCTCCTTCTTCTGCTGTGGCTCATTTCTTTTAGTCTCTGTGAGTCACGCTCCATTATGGCCCTATGACTGAGCTGAACCACGACTGATAATGACACCACGTTGATGCGCTCCGTGATAATCTCATCGTGACACTTTTGTTGTCCAGAGGCAACAGGTTTTTAAATGGTTATATGCACAAAGGTTTGCTGTAGGCCTACCATACATTTACATTACGTTTGACAGATGTTTGAAACACACAAACTGTTGTCAGACTTCAGATACAATTATAATGCGTCTTTATTGATTCAGGTGGAAAACAACATGGTTTCTTGGTTCATAGATTACCACTCGCTGGTCACAGCTTGTCCATCTTTGGACTCCAAACTCTCAATCTGTTCTCCTCTCTACATCTCTGATTTCACATTCAACTTTGGTCCTGGCACCTCCACACAGTCTCCGATGATTCAGCTTTTCTGGGGTGAATCACTGATGGAAAGTTTTAGAGTTCAGTGCAGCAATCATCTGAAGCTCAGCATTAGTAAGATCAAGCAGTCCTACAAATACCCCGCGAAGGCTAATGGCTAAACCTGGAGGGATCTGACACACAGAGTCATGTGGGGATAGTCCTGCATTGCCCTTTCTTTCAACATACAAGCTCTACCGCTCTGCATTGTTTGCGGAGGTGTGATGGGCAGGAAGAGCCAACACGGGGGAGGCAGGCAGGATTAACAAATCTGGTGAATAAAGCTAATTTAGTGATGGGGCTCATTCTTCATAGCCTGGAGGTAGAGGAGGCGGAGCACTAAACTGAGCTTCATCTTGGCAAAACCTCCTGCTCCTCTACACAGCATCTTCAACCACCGCTCAATCCCCCTCCAGCTGCAACACAGAGCCTTATCAGCTGCTCTTTTGCGTGTTTTCTGTCCAACTGACCTCAGATCAGAGAAAGAAAGCTCACAGCTGCACTGTTTATTTTCAAATTTCTTGCTGGAAAATCTTCACAATCTGTTACAGTTCATTCATTATATTTCAGTCCTTAGCATGCTAACATACTACACTACGTTGTGTTAGCATTTATCAATGTACCTGAGAACAGCCTCAGGAAGCTGCAAGCTGTGCTCATCACACTTTCATAGTACGTTAATTTACCATATAAATAGCCTGATATAATACATTTGTGATTGTTTATTCTGGAAAAATCTGCAGTTTTATTGTAGAAAGTGGTTAATTATTAAAGATATGAGTGGATCTGCAGGATACTTGTGTTTTACCTTTGGCGACTTCGGGGATAAGTCTTATTTCTTTGATGTTTTGGTGCTGAATTCCCCTGATATCAATTGACTTTGGGTGCAGCTCTGTGAAGCTCTTTTCTCTTGAAAAAGTTTGAGTTTCTTGTAAGTATGTGGTCTTTCTTTGAGACGGCTGCCGCCACTCAGCTTTATGTCTTTTATTCCAAACAAACCACTTCTGTTGCTATGAATGTCCTGTGATGTTGAGAAGCTTTTTTTAAAGAAAGACTTGATGGACACAAAGAAAAAGCTTCCATGAAGTCTGCTTTATCAACAATGATATAGTAAAGTGGATATCTTTCTTTAAAATGTTCCCATCCGTGCAGCAGTTTGTTGAAGCTAATTAAGCGCCTGACAAAACAGGCTCATAGAGTGCTTCAGAGTGCAACAAATCACTACCGATGAAGGTTTCATTTTTTCCAGGCCAATGTATGCAGAGATTGTGTCGTGTTGAGTGAGGATGCTGAGTGCAGCCGGCTCCTACCTTCCCTCCAGACTGTCAACATAGTCCCTCTTCTTCTTCCGACTTTCTTGAGCCGAGTGCTTGTTGCGGATTTTCCGCCGGATCTTCTTTAAAACCCTCTCTTCAAACTTGTCAGGGTGATGAAACACACAGGAGGATAGAGACAAGAGAGAATGAAGAAAGGAAAGGTTAAGTGAGAGAAAACTGGGTTGTAAGGGGGGGGGGGGGCAACTGGCAGAGGTTGTGTAACTGGGGATACAGATTTAGATTTTGATGCATGCATGTGTGTGCCAGAGAGAGAAGAGGCGGTGAATGTGTATGGTGCGTGAAGACATCTGCCCTACATACGTGTCAGTGTGTGTCTCGCTCATGTACCTTGGACAGCGGCAGTTTGCTGGGTAAGTTCACCCCTTCTTTAGCCAGGAGCTTCTTCTCATCCTCATTAAGAAGAAGCTCCTGCGAGGAATGCTTGGGGATTCGCTGCGCCTGTAAACCAGATGGACAGAATATTCCAGTTAGAGTGACTCTCTTGGCAGTTTACCTAAAGAAGGCACTGGAGTGGACCGGTTCATAAAATTTTTGTGCAAAAGGGGCTCGCAGGTCACCTTAAAAAATGTCTCTGGTCAAATTATACTGAGAAGTAGTGGACCGTACAGTTAGTTCATACTTTATTAATTCGGAGCACGGAGACTGAATTCTTTATATTTAATGGCCCCGCTGGTTAGAAAGTTTGACAAAAGTTCTCTCTTTTCACAGAAATATTCCACTCTTCTCTGCTTACTTTCTGTCCCGGACTGGAAAGCAGCAGGTCCTTCACTGTGAGAGTCTGACTGGAGGTTTGGTTTGTAGTGCAGTAGTGTGCGAGGCCAAGCGGCTCTTGGAGGTCATCGGACTCCCAGCCTGCAGATTGAACCAGTAAAACTCACCAGTAAATTTCACACAATTGCCCTTATATGCTGTTCAAACAAAACACAATGTATTTTGGTTAAAACCCTTTTTCCTTGAATTTGACCTCTGAGACTGTGGCACCCAGCTGTTCTTCTACAATTTATGTCACACTTTTCTCTATGTTTGATATCTTTGTGTTGTTGTAGATCTGGTTTAGTCATTCAATTTCAAAGTGTTTTAAGCACTGAGGGGTCAATAATCAGCAATGCGAAAGGGAAACATCATTCAAAAGAACCATAAAAAGACAATTTCCTCACATGATGAATTGCACCTTTTATCCTTCAGAAATACTCAGAAATAGGAAAAACAAATTATTTGCTCTCTGAAAGGACCCCGGACTGTCAAAAGGCTCAGATAGTAGCTCTCATTATTCTGCAACAGAAACTCAAAAGGATAAATCTCACACCAATTTATACCTGCCTGTCCAGTGCTCTGGTTCACATTGTTCCCTTTAGGTTTGTGCATCTTAAAATGACATTTGTGCTCACTATTGAAACACTCTACTGTTTCACAGCTCAGACTGTAGCTGCAAGTATCACAGTTGCATTTTCATCACTATATGAAGTGCCAGTTTATCTCATAATTTTCCTTTTCACATCTGGTCTTACCTAGATCAATGGAAACGTCTGATGTTCTTTCATGCTGTGGTGACTGGTTCTCTGGAAGTGGAGGCTGAGGGAAAGACTGCGTTTCAAAGGCTGGAAAAACTGAGCAGAAGGGTGGGTGAAGGCTCTCTCTGGGGTCCGCCGGTGCGTCCTCGTTGATGCCGCTGTCAGTGGTGCAGGGTGACCACAGGGGGGATGCTGGAGCAGAGGAGTCGCTCCCACCCAACAAGGCATCCAGGAAGTCATCAGCAGTACTTACCCCGGGGCTCAGGGTCTGAGGAGGAGGAAGAGGAGGGTACGTAAGCATCATCCCAAGACACCACTAACTGCTGAATAGACTGGCCTAATCAGATAATCATATTCCCACACACGAGCACAGACACGACAACACGCCAGCCATTCATGTTCTTGAGCTCATTGGCCCGTGACTCTTTGCCTAATTGAAGCGCAACGAAACTGAATGAGCTCCCAAGATTCAGCTCAGTAACACATGACTGTTGTTGAGAATACAGATCACACTCTGAGATTGGTGGTTGTGATCATGTTGTCCCCCCGAGTGCTCAGGAGCGAACTGTGCGGAATGACCGTCGCACTCACTTCATGAATTGTGAAAGTACATGGTTGATTGCTGTGACAACCGGTGGTATCGTCCGGGTTCCTGAGCAGGAGGTCAATGAAGTCCATCCCACCATGCACCTGAAACAAAGAACTACTCTGAGCATCGGGTTTAACATGGAGATATTCATCAGTTTCTTAAAGGAAAAGCTGTGTAGCCTGTGTCCCCTTCTGCTGGTTTTTATACAATATGACTAAAGTCTTCAGTTCCTTGGACAAAGACTCCTTCAATGAATATACATTTAACCTTCTTTAAAACTGTTTTATAAGCTCACTCAGTCTGAATCCATCTCTTACACGCATAGTCGCATCCTGTGATCCGATAACAAATGTGTCTTACCTTGTCTGTAGCAGCAGCTGATGAAATTACAGTGAAACTATACCCGGCGGGAAAAAAAACAACACAAAGCCAGATCAATATGTTCCTCTCTGTGTCTTCGATGTCTGGGAGGAATGCCTGAGTCTGTTGAAAGGGACAAAGTTGAAAGGCCATATCACACAACGGTATTCTGCGAACCCAGCATATCACTGTCCAATCAGGTCTTTAGCAGACAGCTGAGCCAATGGGCACAGAAAGAAGACTTACTGACGGATGAACTACTCAGAGTTGCTCACAGGTATTAAAGTGACCTTTGATGTCAACATGATAAGGATATGATTCCTTGTGTGGTTTCACATTCATTTGTTGTTGGGCAGGGTTGTTTTAGAGCTCTTTTTTTCCCCTTTTGAAAGGCAGAAGGGGGAGGGAGTCGCTCTTTTCACTTAATCTTGCACTGTCAGTAGAAAGCTCAAATGTATTTGATGAGATTATGGCCTGATCCCTCACTCAGGGTGGTACAAACAAAAACTGTCTGCTCTTTTCTTCACTCATCAGTTAACTTTTCCTTGAAATCAAACTGATTGTGTATATTTCACCATTATTATGAATATCATTTGGTTAACATCTTCTTTTTTTCCCACTCAGTCACATATTACAGCGGCTCCCAACCTGTGGGACAATCATAAGATAATTAACAGGAGAAAACATTTCTGCCATTTCACAAAATTAGGTTTATTTTTCGATGTGCTAGCAGTGTGAATGAATTTTGGGTATAGACATTCATGGTTCACACTGACTTTGGTGTTTAATAAACTGGCTTTTAATCTCATGGCACCATGACGTTGACATTAGTGGTTTTGAGTGAAATATCTCAACAACATTGGAAACAACTGCTCTTTCACACCAACCAAACTTTCACAAAACTCACAAACTCTAAATTAAATTCAGATCTTCTCCAAATTGGTCAAAGTAGACTTTAAAAAAAAAAAATGTCCACAGTTTCTTTGTGTCTATCAAAGAGAGACTCGCTGCTGTGCAGCTAATTCCATCTATTATCAAAGTTGAACAATGACAACTTATGTCTGCTTTTCTATAGCAGAACAACCTCACCGTGCCTCACTCTGGCTTATCTTTATTGCTATAATAAGGAGCATCTGTTTCATGCTATTTCGAAGCAGACACATCATAAAGCAAAGAAATTATTATATTATTATTATTATTCAAAGTGTTGCACCTCTGGGGAAAGAGAGTCTGCCTATATGTGGAAGCTCAAATAATTTAATCCAATTTTCTTTTCTCTTCAGATGATTTCTTTTGACATTTTTACCTTCATGAGCCAGTTGAATGTTGACAGAAGCATGAATATATTTTCTTTTGATTTCTTTAAGTTTATTTTCTTTGTCCCGTACTATTCCGTCCAAAAGGTTCAGAGTAGGGAGGGACGTGAATGTGTGGGAAGACAGAAAAGGAGACACTCATGCCACAAAGTTCCTGGGTCAGATTCAGGCCTCGGCTTTATGTGGCTCAAACCTTAGAGAATCATTTCCTGTATGAACTATAAACCATGCTTCTCATCTTTTCTGATTATGTTTCACAATTTGAATAAATCAAACTCTGAAGCAGCTTTTTCGTTTCCTGGAGACGGAGATTCATTTTACAGCTCGTGGGCTTTTCAAAGAGTCTTTGCCGAATAGAAATATACAATTCAAGAATGTCTAATATTTAAAAAATAATCCCCATATATAAAGTGATAATATACCAGGATACGGTTCAAGATCAGAAAATGTAATCCTTGTGGAGCCAGTGTGAGTTAGAGTTTAAATGATTCATGAGGGACCAGGCCGGATGGATTGATATTTTATAAAAGAAAAATAATTCATCATACACTGTGGCCCCTGCAGGAACCCCATGTCATCAACATCTCTGTCTTTCAAGCACTTTCCTTAAGTATATTTGTGGCATTAAATTCCAAATATCTGTGACAGAGAGCCCAGGATTATCAGTACCGTAATAAGTGTAATTGCATGGCAGCGGAGCGCTGCTATCTTTATTGTTGTTCTTTTCTTAGATTAGAGTTTCAAAGTGCATGCAGATATGATATAACTATGACATGTTAAGCACATCGCTAGATATCAATAATAGTTTGCAGCTCAGTACAGATAACACAGATTGCTGTGTTATTGCAAGTTGCTGATGATATCATACTGTAATCCATATTATCGTGTCCATTTAGATGCATGTGACTGAGGGTCAAGAAGAGTTACATCCACTCATGGGTATAGCTGGGATGAAAGGATACATATTTGACATTTCTGGAAGTGATTCACCAAATATATATACTGTATATATATATATATATATATATATATATATATGAAAATTACCATGAAATCACAGTCAAGCTGCTTAATCTAATGGGTGAAAAAATGTTCCAGCTACTGAGATGAATCAGATAGACCTGTTTTTCATATCCATAGGGCAGAGACTGTGCTCTAATAATATAGCCTTATCACCAGCCGTGAAATGCATGTTGGATGGCATTTATCTGGAGCTCAGTGATAACTCTGATGAGCACAAAATGAGTCAGTACTGGCAGCTTGTGGAAACTTCTCGGTGTGTCACAAATAAGAGAAACGAAAGCAATTCTGTGCTGTGTGCAGTGAAAAGGGTTTGTTCAGGTTTGGAGTCCTTCTTAACTGGTAAAACCCCACATTCAGCTTGTGAAGATTAATGAAGATGAAACACACCTCAAAACAATATGGCAACTCAGCATGTTTTCATCAACATCATAAACGCGAGATAACTGCCTCCCTGTCCAGAGGTTTCTCCTTAACTTCCTAGCTACAAGAGTCTTGTAAGTGGTTTCACGACTGCAGCACTGGGAATTTGTTTCAGTCACTTAGGTTGTTGGTCAGCTCTCGCATTTCATTTAAATTAAATGAAATTAAAGAACTTGACCCATAGTTACTCCATTACTCATTATAAGTCTAGATTTAGATCAGTTTCTGCAGAGTAAAAATCTATCATTGGTATCGTTCACAAAAATGTCATCAGTATAGGAACCAATATTTAAATTATGCCTGTGTTTAGTGATTAAATATATTATATTAACATACATTTGATTATCTAATTCTATAATTTTATTGGTATTTATTATTTGTATTCGAATCTTCTCTTCTTCTTCTGTTAAGTTTAGGAGCCAACTTTATGCATTTCTAAAACCTTTTGCGATAAGCGATAGGTGCAGATTTCAGATTCAGATTTCTCCTCTTGATTTTTACAAAAGCCTGTTTTCACTCGAAGCAGCAGTGCGACAGTCAACATCCTACCGAAGGAAGCTTCAAGGTGACACCAGCTGTTCAAAAAATATAGGAAAAAGGTTTGGCAATGTTATGCAATAAAACAGGCGCTATTTTTATAGCAAAGTAATCGGTGCTCATCTCCTTGAGTGACTGGACACCTGGCAGCAGGCTGCATTTGCACCTAGCATCGCTGTTAGTTGGTCAACTATAAGTGAGTATAAAAAATAACTGAAGAGCATCTGGAAAAAAATCCATTTATCGTCGGTCATTTTTCAACTGTAAAAAATGTTGTCTCATACTTTTTGTGAAATTTTCCCCTTAGTTTACAGTATTAAAGTCTTGTATATGATTTTTTTTTTTTTTAAGAAAAAAACTACACTACACATACTTCCACTGCAAAAAACTATGTCAGGTACACATCTGCTCTCATGAAGGCCCATCATATGCCATCCTTGGAAAAGGGAATGAAGTGCGTCTCTCCTCTGAGCATGTTGAGTCTACTGAGATAACAGGACACATCCCACTACCTTCTGCAAACACAAGTGTGCTTGTTCATATGAACATGTTCCCCAAAGCACAGATTCAATCACTTGACTTTTCCTCATTCTGTTCTCGTCTTATTGTCCCAATTCAGATTCTGTCAACAATCCTAAGATGTTTTGACCTGCTCTGCCCTCAGCTGGTGGAAGACTGCTACAACATCCTGAAAGAGTACAGCCTTTGCTTTGTTCACAGAGGATCCATATTATCCAATAAGAAAAGCTGCGTACCCTCTTTATTGAAGGCATAGACTCACCCACGAGGTGGTGCTCAAAGTGGTCGACCTTTCTTGACTACTTTCACCTGCTAAAATGTCATCAACAAAGACAATCACGTGAACAGGATATCCACTTTGGACATTTTGAATTAGGGTTTAATCACAATTCAGTAATCTAAAACATGTGAATAAAACCAAATTAAATCAACACTATTTGAATTTTAACAGTTACAAATTCTCCTACAGAGGAATTTTTAAGTAGAGATACCTTTTTCTATATTTGTACATCGTTTATGAGTGTAAGTGAATATCTCCTACATTAAAGATTTGATTCATACAGTGCAGTGTTATAAGACTTCTAATATAGTTTAGGATATGGTAATGTTTGCTCAACTTAAGCCAAACATTTAGAGATGAGGCTGACAAAATGATGGAAATAAGAATAGACCTGCAGTGTTGACCTTGAAAAGCTGAATCTTTAGTCTGACATGTTCTAAAATAACCACAGAGGATCAATCATTAAAATCTAGGTCACAAAATGGCCTTTCCTCCGGCTCCCAACTTTGCAATTTTGCAGTAGAAAAAAAAGACAACTTTCTCTCAATTTTCTCTTTGATTACACACTCATTAAAAGAGTTGTGTACTCAGAAAGCATGGATCCCTGGTTAACATGGATAACTGAGACAGACCTGACCAATGATTCACCTAAGGTTAACACTTAATTACAATATTTGGCAAATTTCTTAATTGTGCAGTTACGCAACTAATAGCTAAACACATTGCTACCGCAAGAGACCCAACAACTTTTAAAGCTAGCTGAAGATTTCCATGGCTAGCCTTTATTAGCTTAAGCTACATTTATAGCTTTAACGCTACTTACTTTGCCATGCTAGTTAGCCATTTCTTATCATTTAAATATTTTGGTGCACTAATATTCTGGTAAGTTGGTTTGTTATCCCGCATAAATAAGAACGTAGTTTAATTCACTCATGGAGATCTAAAACAGCTAAATTGGTCCTGCTAAAAAGGTAACTAGCCTAGCGTAGCAGAGTAACGTTTAACAGTAAGCTAACTGCCATTTTAGCTTTTGACTCAAGTGAAATTCAACTTCAGCTTTTTTTGTTTGCTTTTGTGGGGCACCGTGATTCAAAATAATAAATACTTGGACAAAATGTAATGTTGAAATGTAATGTTATGTTTCTTTCTCACACAGGCTCAAACATGAACCCACTTAGCAGCAGAGGCCTCCGCAATACAACAGTGGGCCAAACGTCCAGACGGGAATAGGACCCGGATGTTGAGCAGCAGCGCCCCCTGCTGCCGGAGCCTCTGTATTGAACCGCTACACGGCATCCGCAGCAGCAACGGCAGCAGCGTCTCTCCTGTCAACACCGGGACTGCCTGTCCTCCGAGGCAGTGTGTTACAGCAATAAACCGTTGCACGCAAAGACCAACCGTCTGCAGACAAAATGGTGAGTCAGTACTGTGCTGATATGCGCAGATAATTGTGTGTTTAATCTATTTGCAGCAGGCTAAAAGCGGGCTGTCAGCCGCCCGAGCACACAACCTTAATGTATAGTTGTAAAGGTGTCGGTGCAACAAGCTGCAATGAAGCCATGTCAGGTGTGTGTGTGTGTGTGTGTGTGTGTGTGCGCGCGTGCGCGCGCGCGCGTGTGCGCGCGCGCGCGTGTGCGTGCATGCATGTGTGTGTGAAAAGGATGCCGATGCTCTGGTCGTGTGATCATATAAAGGCTCTGCATGCAGTCCGTTAAAACATACGCAGCAGCAGCCAACTGATGAGGCAGCCGGGCCTTTACTTGCACGGCCCGCTCTGCTTCGCTGTGACGTTCATAGCAAATCCTTTAATAATATCAAGCTGCTGCTGTAGCATGACTGCACAAATATTGGGTGTCAACACACTGCGAGAGAGTGGGCGCATGCTGACATGTCCAATTCACATGTGGGGAATCATGTTTCTGCTCATTTGTAGATTTAGGTTAGATTACAAGAGATCGCGCCATATCCATACTATATCATAACAGGCGACAAAATACATTATTACATATAATACGTCACCGAAAGCGAGAGCTGCAGTGGATTTCGTTTCAATGGTGGATGGTGATTTATAATGGCTTATAATTAATTGTTATTATGATGTAATAGCCTTTGGTTTTCTGAGTGAATGTCTGGACATCCCAAACTTCATATTGCTGTCATTATGACGTGAACGAAGGCATTTAACACGCTAGACATCGTGTTAAATAATGCTGCTTGTCTTTTCATATTAACAAATAAATTCATAGCCTGCAGTGAAAATGCGAACAAACATCTCTTGAACAGCCTTCATCATCTTAAAAAAATGCCTTAGTCTCTTCTTAATGTATGCATACATCATTGTATTACTCAATTTTAGGTCTCCCTTGTATATCTTGTACTTGTGATCTCAGAGGATTGAGCATGAGCAACATTGCTTCAAATAAAATTCAACATGTACATTTACCTTAAATATGAAGAATTGAAGGGGAATTCAAGGTATGAAATGAATGCTGTTCCCTCGTGATTGTGCAATTCAGCTCGGTCCAGCCAGCTGCAGCATGGTGACTCAGTCATTCCTGATGTGTTGCTTGATTAGGAACCAGAAGGTAACGTCTTCATGCAGTGCCCACACTCCTTCCTCATAGTCCGGCTGATGGATTCAGTTTCAAGTTTCTTTCTTTTCATAACTCTACTTGGAACGGCTGCAGGGATCTGGCAGTGGACATAGATAAATATAATATGATGAATAAGATGAGCCTATGCTGGTTGTAAATGGATGAATGTAACCCCCCAAACTTAAACCCCACCAGGTGAACTTCACTGTGGATCAGATCCGTGCCATCATGGACAAAAAGTCCAACATCAGGAACATGTCTGTGATTGCCCACGTGGATCATGGGAAGTCCACTCTGACGGACTCGCTGGTGTCAAAGGCGGGGATCATTGCTTCCTCCCGCGCCGGAGAGACGCGCTTTACAGACACGCGCAAAGACGAGCAGGAGCGCTGCATCACCATCAAATCAACGTATGTGCTTCAGAGAAGTGGGTTTAGGAACAGCTCTGTGTTTTTGGTGCAACCTATTAAAAGTTGTGAAACTTGTATGTATTTCTCTAATTCAGCAAATAATCATATTTATTTATTAAAACTTATTTAATAAGATTTTACCCTCAAAATCTCAGCTAATCTTCTTCATCAGGACTGTGTGTGGGTGCAGATTGATCAGATCGACTGACAACATAGGGCAACAACCCAATATTGTCATCAGATTTTGAGTTTCCAAATACTAATTAGTGCACAGAAATTACATCATATTTTTCCATCTGAGCCCCAACGAGCACAAAGAAAAGAGCGCGGACAGAAATCTCTTTAGGATCACATCACTCATAGTAAGATGATTGAGGAAAAAAGTTTTTCAGGGTCTTTACATTTCAAAAGTACTATGTTGTTATGTTCCAGAGGAGAAACACACAGCCTATTGTACACAGGGTCTGTAGCTCAACTTAGTTATTAACAAAAAATACTTAAATGCTCCAAAAGTGTCATGTCTCGTATTATATTTGAGCCTTTACATGGCCACCATTTCTACTTTCTTGCTATTTTGGACAACGCCAAAGTACATTCAAGGTTGATTCATAATCGCGTTTCTTTGCGGGTTGTTAATGGAATTATTAAAACTATGTAAGCAGTAACACATGTTTGTACCAGAAAATCCTTATTCTAGCCATGTAAAAGTCCCATTTTTATCAGCCTTAGGATTGTTTTGTTCATTTATTTAAATGTTGTGTTCAAAGACGTGTAGTGGAGATGCTGCATTTTCAAAAATCGAAAAAATTAAATATTTACTGAAATTATTCCAGTCAAGCCACTCAGCACATCTGCCTCATCTGAGTCAGAGGACCGTCTGGCTCATTCCAGTATTGTGATTACTCAGTTTAGAAATGAATTCAGTTGAATTCAATTGAATTGAACTTCATTTTATCCATCCTGGTCTTTCCATTTATTTTGATTAGTCGTGGTAGGTGAACAGTGAACAAGCCTTTTCCTGTTCCCTCTGTTATGCAGGGCCATCTCTCTGTACTATGAGCTTGGAGAAAACGACCTGGCGTTTATCAAGCACGGTAAAGACGGAAACGGCTTCCTCATCAACCTGATTGATTCTCCCGGTCACGTCGACTTCTCCTCTGAGGTCACTGCTGCCCTCAGGGTAACTGACGGAGCCCTGGTAGTGGTGGACTGTGTCTCGGGTAAAAACAACGCCCTCGTCCTCCACATTCTACACGCGCACTCTCCCTTTTAACAAAGGCTCACCCGTTCTTGTCCTCCGACAGGTGTGTGTGTGCAGACAGAGACCGTGCTGCGGCAGGCAATCGCTGAGCGCATCAAGCCGGTCCTGATGATGAACAAGATGGACCGGGCTCTACTTGAGCTGCAGCTGGAGCCAGAGCAGCTTTTCCAGACTTTTCAGCGCATCGTAGAGAACGTCAACGTCATTATCTCCACCTACGGAGAGGATGAGGGGGGGCCCATGGGGAACATCATGGTGAGGCAGATGCTCGAAAACAACTCTGAGACAAAGACATGCTGAAATAGCTGTGATTTGTTGCTGTACATTTACTATAGCTACGATTTCTGAGAATGCTGAACCTCTTTTTTTCCCCCTCAGATTGACCCTGCTATCGGTACAGTTGGGTTCGGCTCAGGCCTCCATGGCTGGGCTTTCACCTTGAAGCAGTTCGCTGAGATGTATGTGGCGAAGTTCACTTCGAAAGGACATGCTCTGAGTCCAGCAGCGAGGTGTAAGAAAGTGGAGGACATGATGAAGAAACTGTGGGGAGATAGGTAAACATGACGAGCAACACGTCCAGACAGAAATATGCTTCACATAATAACTTAACATGAGGCTGAAAAGCAGCATTTGACTGCCCTCTCTGGTTGAAAGTTTCAGGTTTGTTGTACCTCAGAAGTGTGCTCTGTTGTACCTGTAACCACACACACAACAGTGATACACGGTGCACAAACCACACTCTGAAGTACACTTCTACGTCACAAGAAGTAAACCCACCAGAGGCCAGTAAAACCTTGATTTTCAGCTGGTGTTAAGTTGCTCTTTAAATTATTCTTGCACACATTTTCATAATAACTGGCATATATTGCACAATTAAAACAGGATTATGAGCTAGATGTCAATCATCTGAGTGTCATGATGTTGTGCAATAATTTATATACAGATATTTTGATCCAAATGCCGGCAAGTTCAGTAAGACTGCCACCGGTCCTGATGGCCAGAAACTTCCCCGCACCTTCAGCCAGCTCGTTTTGGACCCCATCTTTAAGGTGAATGGAGAGAAGAAAAAAAAAAGTGACATAAACCTACAGTTAATATGTTTATTAAGTCAGGCCTTCATTTTTCTGATGACCTTCACACGTCTCTGTGTTGTTAAAAATGAATTTAAAGCGCCTACATGTAGGATTTTAACATTTCTGTCCTAAGCACCTTTTCGTGGTAACACCAAAAATAAACGTGGTTGACAGACAAGGCACACAACCAGGAGGACATTAAGATGAAGACGCTGAAAGCAATACATAGACTGCACAGATTTTCACCAGTATTCCTCTACAAACTAAAATTCGCCATCACAATTATTTCAAAGATTACATAAAAGTGTACACATAGGGGTTTTTCAATAAACAGTTAAGGATCGTTTTGCCCTTTCTCACTGTCTAGGTTTTTGACGTTATCATGAATTTCAAGAAGGAAGAGACAGCCAAACTAATTGAGAAGCTGGACGTCAAGCTAGACTCCGAGGACAAGGAGAAAGAGGGGAAGCCTCTGCTGAAGGCTGTGATGCGCCGTTGGCTGCCTGCTGGGGAGGCCCTGCTCCAGATGATCACCATCCACCTGCCCTCCCCCGTCACTGCACAGAAGTACCGCTGTGAGCTGCTCTATGAAGGGCCGGGAGACGACGAGGTTGCCATGGGTCAGTGGAACATTTTCACAGCACCACACGCCTTTACACTCTGGAGAAGACATCATTTGATCTGGAGCGTTTGATGATTCTGTTTTTTTATAAAATACTGACCCAATTTGTAAGCTGTATTTTAGCTTTACTATATGCAGGGCTTACTATCTCTGCTGTCTTCTCAGGTATTAAGAGCTGCGATCCTAAGGCTCCTCTGATCATGTACATTTCCAAGATGGTCCCAACCAACGACAAGGGTCGTTTCTATGCATTTGGCCGTGTATTCTCTGGCTGCGTGTCCACTGGCCTGAAAGTGCGTATCATGGGGCCAAACTTCACCCCTGGCAAGAAGGAGGACCTTTACTTCAAACCCATCCAAAGGTGAGCATGTTGAGGAAAAAAACACTACACTGAGGCCTGAGATGGTAGAAAAGCGAAAAGAGTTCTACATTAATGTTTGTCCTCTCACACTTTTGTTTTCATGCTTTTGTTGGCAACGTTTTATATCCATTTCCTTCTTTCCCTTCATCCAGGACCATTCTGATGATGGGCCGGTATGTGGAGCCCATAGAAGACGTCCCATGTGGCAACATCGTGGGTCTTGTTGGAGTAGACCAGTTCCTGATTAAGACAGGAACTATTACCACCTTTGAACAAGTAGTGTATTGCTTTTTTTACCGCTATACATTGTAGATCAACTACTGGTGCACCACACAGTGTATCATTAGTTATTTATACTGAGTTATTCCATCATTGTTGGCATTATTTTTCCTGTCACAACAACACTTTTAGCTTGGTGACTCTGGCTCTGTCCGCAGGCCCACAACATGAGGGTGATGAAGTTCAGTGTGAGCCCGGTGGTCAGAGTTGCTGTGGAGGCCAAGAACCCTGCTGACCTGCCCAAGCTGGTGGAGGGACTGAAGCGTCTGGCCAAGTCTGACCCCATGGTGCAGTGCATCATCGAGGAGTCCGGGGAGCACATCATCGCTGGAGCGGGAGAGCTGCATCTGGAGATCTGCCTGAAGGACCTGGAGGAAGACCACGCCGGCATTCCACTGAAGGTGAGATTTGTCTGTATTAAACTTGAGAGCTTTAGACAGCTGTGTGAGTGTGTGTCGTAAGTAACATTAGACCACAGATATTCATGATAACAGCAAAGCTAGGAAAATAAGGCCCAAGTTGAGAATTTTTTAGGAGATTATACACAACAAAAGGCAAATTTGCTGCTCACTTTGTTGCACCATCACATGTGCTCTCAATTTTGACTCCCGGCTCCTTCATCTCGTTCCAGAAATCAGACCCAGTCGTGTCTTACAGAGAGACAGTGATGGAAGAATCAGACCAGATGTGTCTGTCCAAGTCCCCCAACAAGCACAATCGTCTCTTCATGAAGTCCCGCCCTTTCCCCGACGGCCTGGCTGAAGATATCGAGAAGGGGGATGTCAGCCATCGCCAGGAGCTCAAGGCCCGTGCACGTTACCTCGCCGACAAGTACGAGTGGGAGGTGACGGAGGCCAGGAAGATCTGGTGCTTCGGTCCAGACGGAAGCGGGGCCAACCTGCTGATAGACATGACGAAGGGGGTCCAGTACCTCAACGAGATCAAGGACAGTGTCGTGGCTGGTTTCCAGTGGGCGACTAAAGAGGTGGGCATGCAGTTAACTTTGACTGCAAGTACATTTTAAATAGTTAGCTGGGTGTAATCAGACACAATATAGCTTCGATGCATTTGTGGTAGTGTTCTTTTAAAAGCGTGTGCTCGGGTTAGTAAGGTTGCAAGTCTCTGTCATCATCATGCAGGGTGCTCTGTGTGAGGAGAATATGCGCGCAGTTCGCTTTGACATTCACGACGTGACACTGCACGCAGACGCCATCCACCGTGGTGGAGGACAGATTATTCCCACGGCTCGTAGGGTCCTGTACGCCTGCCAGCTCACTGCTCAGCCACGACTCATGGAGCCTATATACCTGGTGGAGATACAGGTGTGTATGGAGGCCGACTACCTCCAAAATGAATCCTTAAAACAACATTGTGAAGTGGTGCAATTGTAAATGACCCCAAATCAGTTTGGTAAATCTATAAATATTATTGTAGCATTCAAGTTTCTGTTATAATTGATGTCTGTACAGAGTAAACTTTATTATGTTATGATCAGCAAATAGAAAAGCATGATTTATAAGGTACTTAAAGGAAAACAGGATGCCACCATTTTCAGTATGAACCTGTTATAGATCTACAAAAGTTTGGATATTTAAAGAAGTGACTTCAGTTTTTTTTACAACTGTACCATTATGGGACTATGTACAATTTTTTTAAGTGAAAAAAAGTGAATTGTAATTATGCTTGAAAATTCGCTGATGCCAGTTCACACTTCAGGTCTGACTGCTCTGCTTCTTGTCCGTGCAGTGCCCCGAGCAGGTGGTCGGTGGTATCTATGGTGTGTTGAACAGGAAACGAGGTCATGTGTTTGAGGAATCCCAAGTGATTGGCACTCCCATGTTTGTGGTGAAAGCCTACCTGCCTGTCAACGAGTCCTTTGGTGAGTTGTAAAATAATTAATTTATTTAATGCATCGGTCTTATTTCTGCTCTTTTTAAAACATTAGTATTTATCTGTATTTTTTTGCCTCCAGGGTTCACAGCTGACCTGCGCAGCAACACTGGAGGCCAGGCCTTTCCTCAGTGTGTGTTTGACCACTGGCAGATTCTTCAGGGAGACCCCAGCGACTCCACCACCAGACCCTTCCAGGTTGTCGCTGAAATTAGGAAACGCAAAGGTCTGAAAGAGGGCATTCCTGCTCTCGACAACTACTTGGACAAATTGTAGACATTGACCCTGGATTCTAAAATACCAAATCAATCTCTAAACCCTAACCCCGTGGGCACTTTAAACATTTTGCACAGGCTTAAAGATACATCGCACAAGTTGTTTTTACTTTGAGTCCGGAGCAGAAGCAAAGCTTTAACCTTTAGTTGTAGGCTAGTGGAAGCAGTGATGCTTTCTTCATTTCACAGGTACAGTACACCCCAAGTGCCTAGGGCGAGGGTTTTGGGGAACAATTGGATATCAGTTGTATTCCTTGTTTCTTCTATTCCTCCACATCACCCCCCCCCCCCCCCCCCTCTCTCTCATCTGCCAGGATGGGCCTGTACAGTGCACTGCAATAATGCTGCAATAATGCATATATATAAAGGCCAGATTAAACATTGGAAACCACAATAAAGTGTTACAGAAGTCAAACTTCCTGGATTGGACCTTTATTCAGCGGATGTAATTAATAAAAACATTCAACTCATGATGACATTGTGATTCTCGAGATACTGTTGTTTCTGTAGTGGACTTAATTTGGTAAATAGCTTCTTTGCTTTTGGCAGTGAATTAAATGAGAAGATCAATACCATTCTGACTTTTATATGGTGAGTACAGCCTGAGGCTATAGCAGCAGCCGGTTAACTTAGCGTCGCACAAAGACTGAAAACAGAGAAACCTTCTAAATCTTCCTAGAAACTAAATGTTTCTATGCAGAGTTAAGAAATATATGTTTGGGTCAAAACATGAAAAATAAGCATACATCATCAGTCTTGTACTTTTCTTGCCGACAAAAAGTTTGGTTTTCAATAGAAAATAGGCAGTCGCCTGCAAATGAGTGAATCACTTTTAACGTCTTTATTTGATTATCTTGTTTAAGGTTTTATTTGATTGATTTGTATTCTTCCTATTTTTTCCCCCCCAATTACTTCAACACTGAACTCCCCCATACGATTTAGTTCACATGGTTGTACTTGATTTCATTCAATAAAATAAAAACATTTTAAAAAGTCCCAAACAAACCTATCAGGTAGTGAGCTGATGGGCGATGGACAGAGTTTCCCTGTTTCTAGACGCTATGCTACGAGAAGATAACCGGTTGATGGGTTTAGTCTCGGCTTATATTTAGCAGACAAATTATTTTTTTTAAAGATTTTTTTATATATTTTTTCACCTAAATGATTAGTTTCTACTACTGGTTAAGTGTTACTCCTGAGAGTAACTCTCTTCCAAAAACACAAGCAAGACAACATCGTTCTTCACGCTTTAATCAATAGTTATTTCAAGTTACATATATAATGTTAATAAATGACATTTTAATATACAACCCTTTACCTTCCACACCGAGAGGGAAAGCTCTTCCGTCCACACTTTTTAAAACAAAGCTAAAAAGAAACTTATCTGAAGCGTTAGTGTGCATCCATAGAACAAACAAACCAACATATGCAAGGCCGAGAAGTGCAAGGTATCTTGGGAATAGGCAACTACCAAGCAAGGACACAAGATATCACAGATTGTACTTTATGTAGAAACCCGAAAAATTGCTTACCATTATCATGTTGAGATTAATATGAAGTTTGGTTCAAAGAGTTCATAAAGCCTATGAGGTCTACTGTTCTATGGAAGTTACAGCTGATGCGACATTGAGTGAAATGCTGGTCTGTAATGAACGGTGATATGGATCTCGTCTTGGCAGATCTGTACATTCATACAGTTTGACTCCTTTGCACTAATTCTGTGGAGTACAGGAAGGGGAACTGTACAGCTTAAGTAGAATTCAGTGTCAAGCTTTACGCCGTCAATCCACAGCAGTGACATCGATACTGTGAATAATCTGAGAGGCTTCTCCCTCCCTCTTTTCCTCCCTTGTGGAGTCGGTAACAGTCATGTCTGTTTCAGATGCTGGCGTCACTACAACACAAAGGGATGAAAAGGAAGCTGCTGATAAAGAGAGAGGCAGCTTCTCAAATGACAAGCTACGCCCCATGTAGTGACCTACATTGCCTTTTTGGCTATTTGTCTTCCCATGTGGCCAACTGTAGTGCACTATATTGGGGGGGGGGGGGGGGGGGG